CATTAATCTGCTCACTTTGAGAAAGGGAGCAAATCAAGGCAGAGCACCTCGACATCTTCATCTATAATGGAGTAGCAAGGAGCGGCCCCACTCTTGCAGTCCAAGTAACCCAACTTGTATGCGTTGATGACAGCCTTGGACTTAGACCGCTCAGCAACCTCATGATAGGAGCCAAACTTAGCCAGAAGTTTGTCATAACTATAGGAGATGTTAGTATTCTTGTGCTCAAGACAAAAGTAGGCATTTTTTCAATTGTGCAGGCCAGCAGCAGAAGAGTTGAGTTCAATATCCCTTTTAGCAAGGGAACTCTTCAGCTCAGATATACTCTCCCTTAATTCAGACATCCTTTTTTCATGACATATCTGCTCGACTAAGAGCTTGCTAGACAGATCAATATTCTTTTTCTCCAACTCGCTGAGCTGAGCAGAAGAGGGGGCAACATAAGATGAGTTTCGGATGGCCTCAATAGCAAAAACTACTCATTTTTTAAGGAAATGAACAGCCGCTTCCTTTGTTTCTCCAAGGCAAGACTTGAGAATGTGCCAAGGTCACCAACCTGTTGGATATGATCAACTAGCTTCACACAAGCAGACGGGCTTGACAGGAAGTTCATCTTAAGCAGATCAAACACACCTGCATCCCTTGCAGGGTTGGACTAGTCAACCTTGAGATCAGTCATTCGCATTTTCGAAGAACCTTTCACCCGAGCAGATAACTCTTTGACCTTTTAAGTCACCTCCATCCTCGCCTCCAAAGTAGTCAATGACGCCGATCAACTCCATGTTTGACTGCCCGTGACACAATAGCTAGATCCTGATGGTTGGGCAGATGAGCAAACCTCCCAATTCGATCCTCATCCCTTGATCAGTGTAGGTGACTTGAACTTCAGAGAGAAATATCAGCATCTCTTTGCCTTTCAGCAGGTGAACTGGTTCGCGAGCATACCTCTTTACAAGGCAGATCAGAGTTTATGAGCTTGTCAATAGGAGACTTGAACGAAATGTCCTGAACATTTCGCATGCCGCCAACCTTCTTGCTATTTGTGTTGACGAGATGTTTGATTGTGGCAGATGAAGAAGGAGCAGTTACTTGAGTCTTCTCAATAGATGAGACCTCTTTTGAGGAAGACTTGATCACAATAGAAGGAAGTCTTGGCTTCTTTCTCAATAGAGACACGTCCCTTGATCACGAAGTTGCAACTTCATCTTTAGAGGACTTGGCGTCGGCCTTCCTCTTTGAGAGGGATTCGGCAGAGCACTCTTTTTGTTCAACAGGTAGATCATCAGAATCTAGACCATTCTTCTTCCATCTCTTAACATCATGGGCAGGAGGCAAACCACCAGCTTTCTTCGATACTCGCTCAACAACCAGCACCATTCACGAAACCTTGTAAGGATGTTCAGAGCTCGGCAGACCTTAACCATGTCAGGCCAAAGATCTAGTTCTTGCATATATCATTCACTGCAAGCAGAAAACAGAAGTTAGTTAGTCACACATCAAAGAATTCAAACAAACAAAATTAGGAACAAATAGTGGGAGCAAGTGGACCATCACCAACCTCGTCTTCCCACCATCCGCTGACTTCCAACACATCAGCATGTCATACATGATCTCCTTGGCTAAAGCTGTCAAACATCTTGGCTTTGGATACCTGGACCTGAGCATACTTCTCGTACTGCCTCACTTCGAAGAAGTAGAAGAACTCTCGCACCGTCAGGTCTAGCTTGAAGAAACGACTCAGATTCTCAAAACACATGATCACCTGGTAGACGTTCAGAGTACATTGTCTTGGAGCACACTCCATGACGCAAAACACCTCCCTAAAAAACTTTGACAAGGGGAAAGTGAAGCCCAAAGAAAAGTAGAAGTTACAAAATGTGATAATCCTAGCATATGGATCATTCGCATCCACACAAGGTGCATCGTCGATTGAAAACTCCGCTAGCCTGACATGCAAGCCATCAAGAACTAAGCTTAAGACATAACGTGATGCAGATTAACCATAAATTTCTTCTTATGCACTTTGGAACCTCCCCACAAGTACAAAGGTACTTTTGAGATTGGTGATCAACTACCTTCCTCAACTGCAAGACATGATGGCTTGACAACTACAAGACGTATAGAAATTTTTTCAAGAATACATGTCAGATTTACACACACAAAAAAGGCTAGTGGCACAAAAAAAAAAAAGGAATTGGCCTTACGGCCTAAGTCACAAGGCAATCCACAGCGCGGCCCGAGCCACGAAGCCATGGCAGCAGCGGTAGGCCCATTGATAACTCCAGTCTGGGCCTGCAAAAAAAATAAAATAAAAGCCCGAGCCGCGACACAGCCCAGACGCTTCCCGAACGCTTGTAGGCCGCAACCCATGCTGCCTAGCCTATCGGCCCATCTCTGAATAAGAAGAAATAAGGGTGGCAACGATGTCAAAAAAAAGGGAATGAGGAAGGCTGCGGCAGCCGTCGCCACATCAGCTTCGCCATCACGACGACAACTGGCAAGGCCTACCAAACCAGTCCTCGCGCGCGAAGAAGAAAAAAAAAATGTTCAACTTACCTTAGTTTGCACGACAACTGCTCTCTTCGACAAACAGTACAATTCTCCAAGACCTCTCTCACACTCGAAATTAGAGAAGACAAGTTTTCAATTTGAAAAAGAGTTAAGAGATGTGACACCCCGAAACAATTGTAACCATTTATTTAACCTATTAAATTTTTTAAAATTTATTTAATTGTGAAGTTACAATTTTGCCCTTGGAGTAAGGTTGCGATAATCACTTTTCAATCTATAAGGATATTTGGAATTTGAGTCGCATCGTTGCATCAATGTGTAGAGCGCATCTATACGAGTTCATAGACACATAGTGGGCTCAAATTGGAGTTTTAACGAAGAAGTTACAGTCAACGAAAATGCAGTGGCACAACCATAAATATTTCAAAGTCAAATTTTTAAAAACCAAACAGCTCTCTCTCTCCTCCCCTTGCAACAAAACAGCGCTGATCCTTTGACCGACGATATCTTTCTCCTCCGACCACCATTGGCCACTATTCCACCTCCATTAGAACCGGTCCGGCCCCCTCTCTTCATCCCACCCCTTCTCCGACAAAACCAGGACCCTCAGTGCCAGCGAGAGCTTGAGAAAGTTCCGATTTTCTCGAAATTTTTCAACATCGTTTCCGACGACTCCGACGAAGGAATTTGTCTATCCAAGTATGTTTCTTCACCTATTCAACGTGATCTAGCTGATGCTTGGGTTGGTTAGGATCAATTTTGAAGTTTTGAAACTCAATTTAGGACCTAAGTTTTGACCAGTTTTTCGCTTGATTTTCCGGCAAACTCTGGCCACTTTTTGGCCATGGCCCAAGAACAAAAGTTGCTCCCCTAGTTGTCTTGATCACATAGATATAGGTATTGTAGGGTGTTTTGAGAATTTTTCGGTCGCCAAAATTTTCTAATGACACCCACACACTGCCGATGTGTGGGCCGAAATTTTCTCATGTCGTCCTGAGCACAATAGGATGCTCGGATTCGAATTTGGTTATCATTTGACAGTCGAAAGGATTTACGTATATTAGAAGATATCCGAGTTCAATATGTTCGGACCGTTGGAATGGCTCCATTTCTAAGTATGTTGATCTAGGTACCTCTAGGATTTCGGAGTCCTGGATACTTCGAATCAATGATTCAAAGATTACGTAAAACGGTGACGTCTGATCGAGAGTGATCCGACTGCTCGATCTGGACCAAACTTGCAGGACGTGTTTAGTAAACTTTGTTGAACCCATAGGAACTGTCGGATCGAAAATCGGAGGTCGTGGGCCCCGTGGGCTCTATTGACCAAAAACGAGAAGTTTGACCAACTGTTGACCACGGGTCTTTTGAGACCGTCTCATCCTTTGGGAAGGTACTAGAATGGCTTTAGGACCTTTCCAAGGTTGTGTATATGCGTTAAGTTTCTGGGAATTATGGGCTTGGGTGTATGTTTCTATTGTGGCCTTATAGTATCGGATAGTATTACTGGAATTGTTCGCCAGTGATAAATACGTGGGATTTTGAATGACAGTTATGGCGTATTGTTGAAAACTTGGATTTGTTTTGATGTTGTGATATTGGGTGTAATAGTGATATTGGTGGGAAACTGATTTGTTTTGATGTTGTGATATTGGGTGTAGTAGTGATATTGGTGGGAAACACTTTTCGTTTATATATATATATATATATATATATATATATATATATATTGTTATTATTGTTTTATTTTGATGATTGTTATTATAATTCACTTGTGGCTTGATAGCGGGGTTTGGTGTCAGTAAGGATCTAATTAAATGTCAATTATATGTTTATACTCAAATATATGTCTATGTGTTTGGGTTATGGGTACATTGGATATTGATGCGGGTTATGAATTCTGGTTTGCTGAAATAGTATGTAATACGTATGTTGAATTGATTTGAGAACGGATGTTGAAAGTTATGGGTGATCTAATTCAAACTAGTGAATTTTTAGGAAAGAATACACTACAAGGAGAAACCTTTTTTGCAACGAAATATTTAGCGACGAACCTAATTTTTGTCGCCAAAACTATAGATTGGCGACAAACTGTTTCCAGGTGGTCGCCATAAGATTCGTGATATTTAGACATCCTGCATAACTTGAGTCAAATTAAATTGCGACCAATTTCTTCGAAACTGCGACAAAAACTTTTGGTGTATACATTAGGACTTGGCGACCAAACATTTAATTGGTCGCCAAATTCTGGAAAAGGTGCGCGCGAAACTCAAAAATTGCTGGCAACGAAAATATTGTGTGGCTAAGCTTTCCTGTATTGTCGCTAAAGTTAGAAGTCGCGCGTAAAAATTCGTGGGATCCGTGACGAATGTATGGTTTCGTCGCAGACCAGTTTTGTGCCAAGGATTAAGCCAAAAAGACGACGTCGTTTGTGTGTGTTAGCTTATGGGCGACCAAATGTTTTTGGGGCTAATCTAGAGAGTGTAAATACAAAAATAAAAAATAAGTTCCCAACTCGTTATTTCCTCTCAGACCCCCTCTCCATCTCGCACGCCCTTTCGCTGCTCCAACATCGCCACCGACGTCGGCAAGCCTAGGGTCAGAAATCAACGGTTTTCCCTTTCTCTCCTCCACTTTCCTGTCGCATGCCCAGGGTCAAAAATCGACAGCTTCATCTCCGAAGTCTTCCTCACTACATGGTTCAACGGCAAAGTTCTGGTGAGTTCACCTTGTCTGGCTTACCTTCTCGTCTTGTTAATTTTCTGTAGATTCCGTTTGGTTGCTGAGAAAACAACCAAGGAAAATAAGAACTGAATACTTAGGAATTTGAATCCAAACTGATTTTCAGTGCTTGATTTTTCATTTTTGATATCTGAATAAAATTATTTTTCCTTTTTCATGATTGTTCCCAATCTAGATTTCTGATGGTCTGAGTTATTTCCTACTCTCCAGATATAATCTACCCTTCAATTATCTAGATTTCTGATTTTGATTCTTTCAAAATAAAATCTGAGGTTTTTTTTTTTGGGGGGTCTTAATAACAAGGTCGTTGCAACCCCTCAACCATTGAACTGGCGAAGTCCTCTCACAATTTCCTTCATATGCTGCCTCTCTGTTAGGTCTGATGACTATTTGCTCTGTATGATTTGAGTTTTGTTTTGGAAATATTTATTTGGCCATCTATGATTTACGAATTATGAATTATTTTCTTCTCTGTTTTGTGTGTGTGTGTGCATACATATATATGCAGTTTTTGTATTCATTTGTAATGTGTTTAGGATGCGGGTTATGTTATGGTTCTTGTATTTGATATGAATGCCCTATTGTCCATTTGATGTGGGCTCTGTGTCAAATTTGAGATGTTTCACTTGCACACTTACCCAGTAGTTATTTCATTTGTTATGTTTTAATGCTTTGAGTCTGATTGATTGTTTTCCAGGTCTTGGAAATCCTTTCAAATCCCTTCCAGCCACTTTTTTTTCCTTTTTAACAAAGCATTTCGGCTTTATCTGATGATCACTGGTTGCTTGGATTTTGTCTACCGCGCAAATCTCAAGGCCTGGAGTTCCGGGCCGAGGGGATGTGCGTTGACACGTGGCTTCCTGCTTTTGGATGCGGTGCGGTTGTGCGCGGGCGTTCCAGCACGGTCTACCGTGCGTCGAGAGGTTGATGTGATTGGAAATGGTTAAGTGGTGCGCCTGTTTGAACTCGTTTTCTAATCAAACGATTGTAGCCGAGAGAGGAACAAATCTCGGCTGTCAGGTTCACAGCCTGAGCTACAAGGCCGTTTAGCGGTGGTGTTGTTAGTGGGTTTCGGGCGGTGCTCCGGCGCGCTGCTCAGTGAGCGACGGTCGTATGATATATGGGGTGAATGAGCGAATAGCAAAGATGGTGCTCCGGCGCCTTGAAAATCAAGGGTCGTATGATATATTGATGAATGGATTTTCCTTACAA